ATTCAGAGATTAAGAATCAAACTAATATAACAATATTTAGGTAATTAAGAAATAAGAAGGGGACAGCATAACATTGCAATAATTTTTTATATTATTATAATATTTCATAAATTATAAAACGTTATTTTTTCTTTAAATATATGTAAGAATTTTTAGTTTAATTTTTTATTCAAACCTCTGATTTCTTAATAAAGGTCTAAATTTTTAGTTTAGTGATTGTCTGATTGAGATATGCGATCTGCAATTATTTAATGTAACGTAGCAATATACATAAAAGAAGTTGAATATTTAAAGTTGAATCCTTTCGTATTGATGTAAATTGAGTTTTAATAATGATTATATTAAAAGAATTAGTATTGAATCACACGAGATTGTTTTGTCAAAAGTGATACTTGGATTATTATTATTATTTTTATTATTATTATTATTACGGCTAAAGTACATAAATGGTCCATACACTATACGATATTGTTTTGTTGAGTCTTTCGATTATGAAAAGTTAAAAAAATGGCCAACTAACTATAAATATTGTTTTGTTTAGCCCATCAACTATTAAAAGTTACAAGATGATCACTCGACTATTCATTATGTACCAAACTCTTTTTTCGTTAAAAAATTAACGATCGTCTGAGCTGGACATTAACATTCTGTCTGAGATATGATAGTTGTTTGAGATTATGAGGTCATATTTTATCATATCTTAGTCAGTAGGTTAACATCTAGCTCATTCTGTCGTCAATTTTTTAACGGAAAAGGACGAGTTTGGAACATATGAATAATCGGGTGACCATTTAGTAACATTTAATAGTCCAGGAACTCACAAAGCAATGTTTATAGTCGAAAGATCATTATGTAACTTTTAAAAGTTGGAGGACTCAATAAAATAGTATCTTATAGTCGAAGGATCAATTGAGTACTTTACCATATTATTATTTATTTAATTAAATAATACATTGTTGATTGCTACTCCTTCATTTATGGTCAATAATTTTGTTTTACATGTATCATTGTTTCAAAATTAATACCGTAGTTTCAGAATGCCTATTTTAGCCACTAATTTATCAACAATTATCTAACCAAACGAAACCACATTCATTAATCTTGGATTTATGATTAGATTCATATAAAGATAATCGTAAAATTTTAAGTTAACCGATGAATTTTTAAAACTTTAAAACAAGATAAATTTATTATAAAAAACAAAAATAAATTATCTATTAAAAGTGCATCCTATATGATCGCTACCATTAAAACTTATTCTTTCACGTATTATCATTTTGATTTATATTTAAGGGTCTCCATCTGTGCAGCAAATAAGTGATTAACCAAAGAAAACAAGGACCTTCTAGCGTCTTCATTGCAATTTGCAACAATTGATCAGTTATATGGGCATCTGTCCAGAAGTTTCTCGGAATCAATATTCTCACCGTTGGATCATCGTACTGACAGGTGTACGGTACAAATTTCCTACATTTCCGGACCCGTAATAAAAAATATTTTGCATTTACTGGCCAGGTTCATCGGTGAGCTTTCTATTTAAACAGCTTCTACCATCTCTTTGTCCACAAGGAGGAAAAAAACCCGTAGTAAAGCAATTTCCATAAGAGTTATCTTCAGTCCTCTTAATTATAGTCATCCCTCATTGTCCTCTTCCCTACATTTTTCATGGCTCCGAACTGGTTCCTTCCGGTGATAAAACCAACGTTTTAGCTAAACAGGTCACCTTGCGCAATCGTGCTTACGTCACGTTCCTGGCCGGAAATGGGGACTACGTGAAAGGCGTCGTGGGGTTAGCCAAAGGGTTAAGGAAGGTGAAATCGGCGTACCCTTTAGTGGTCGCCGTTTTACCCGACGTGCCCGAGGAGCATAGGCGGATCCTGATGAATCAGGGCTGCATCGTACGAGAGATCGAACCAGTTTATCCGCCCGAGAACCATACCCGGTTCGCCATGGCTTACTACGTCATCAATTACTCCAAGCTCCGTATTTGGGAGGTACGTTGTTCGCCACTTTCAATCGTGGTTAATTTTCTGAGTTCATTGACCATGATTTGACGTTTACTCGCGTTACTTTTATTTAACAATTTTTAATTAACGTGGTGCGCGCAGTTCGTGGATTACAGTAAGATGATATACCTGGACGGCGACATTCAGGTATACGACAACATTGATCACCTGTTTGATTTGCCTGATGGACATTTCTACGCCGTGATGGACTGTTTCTGCGAGAAAACTTGGAGCCACACTCCACAGTACAAGATCGGTTACTGCCAACAGTGTCCCGACAAGGTGAAGTGGCCTTCCGAGATGGGTAATCCCCTTCTCTTTACTTCAATGCCGGAATGTTCGTGTTCGAGCCTAGCCTTACGACCTATGAATCGCTATTGAAGACTCTCAAAATCACAACCCCAACCCCATTTGCGGAACAGGACTTTTTGAACATGTTCTTTAAGGACATTTACAAACCGATTCCTTTAATTTACAACCTTGTTCTTGCCATGTTATGGCGTCATCCCGAGAATGTTGAGCTTGAAAAGGTGAAAGTCGTTCACTATTGTGCAGCGGTAAGTACACATATTTCACTCTCCTGTTTTTTTTTGGTGCTAATGTTTATGTGTTGGTCTCGGTCGTGATTACGATGGTGTGATGGGATTAAACAGGGATCGAAGCCGTGGAGGTACACAGGGAAAGAAGACAACATGCAAAGAGAAGACATCAAGATGCTTGTGCAGAAATGGTGGGACGTTTACAAAGACGAATCACTTGATTACAACGAGTCCACTGCTGCTGAAGGAGAGACGGAGCCTAATAGCCTGCAACCGTTCCTGGCGGCACTCTCAGAAGCCGGTCCCGTTCAATTCGTGGCCGCCCCATCAGCGGCGTAAAAACTGACGGCTCTTTTTTTTATTACGATGATAAAGAAAAATCGTTCCAAGATGTAAAAATTATTGTTCAAAGCTTCTAGGTTTTGGGGTTTTTTCCACTATTAATGTTGGTGGGCTATTGTGAAAGAAAGTCAACTGCCAACTTGACTCGTGGGGTCAAGAGTTGGATGCGTCTGTTAGTGTTCCTTTCACAAAAGAGTCTTGTCAATGAAATGTGTCTGCATAATGTGGAATTGTAATCTTAATTTTGCAGAAATGGTAACATGAAAAATACAGAACAAGTTTGTGAAACACAACAGCAGTTAAATTACCAATTGCCGTAAAATGAAATCCATATATACTTTTATATATAGACCTTTTTTTTTTCAAATGAAAACACTGTGTTAGCAGTGATTGTGCCTTCTCCTCAGGGAAAGCCTGATCGGAACTAAGAATTCTTTGAACTTCATTTGGCGGCTGCTGAATTTCCGACATCCCAGGTTTGCACCACGCCCGAGGTCGACCATTTTGTCGGTGACTCTGTTCGTTTCACGGACAGAAACAGATTTAAGATTTTAGTTAAAAGGGAATAAAGTATACCTAACCAATATATATATATGAGTAAAATTAAAATAAATTAAAATTTAAAGATTTAAATAGATATTTATATGTTTGTATTGAATCGAACGTTCAATGGATCTTTCGAAAATCGTTCAACGATAAATTTGTTTAAATTTGTTTATTTATTAAACAAATGAACATGAATAAGATTTTATGTCGTTTAATTAATGAATAAACATGAACAAAATACTTGATGGTTCATTTACGTTCGTAAAGATTCAGTAATTTGTTTATTTATGTTCATTCGTTTATATTTATTTTAATTTACAAATCCGTTTAAAATATTAATACCTAATAAATTTTAACTTTAAATCTTTAATATTTTAAACCTCAATTAATTTTAAACTCAAAAAAAATACCCAAATCAATTAAAGAGAATATAAACCCTAAAAATATTTGGAAAGAATTTTTTTTTCAAATACAAACTCAATTAATTTGATCTTTGTTAGTTTATGTTCGTTTGTACTTTTTCATTTGTGTTCGTTGATCATTTTAACGAATATGAACGAATACGAATAAATTATATTATTTAATAAGCGAACATAAATAAGAAATTTTATTCGTTTAGTTATTCGTATTTATTCGACTAAAGGTAAACGAACGAATATTAACATGTTGTTCATGTTCGTTTACAAGACTATGTATTTGTCCCTCTATTTTTTAATGATAAAAAAATTATGGGAGCAGTGGCCCCTCGGGCCCCTATATTGCTCCGTCACTGTTCACGGGGATATAATTTATCGTGAGGTTCCATTGCCATTGCCGGTTAATATGACTTTGGATCCTTCTGATTATTGCTGATTCGTGAGTTGGGGAGACGAGGTATCGCACTGTTTCAAGGTTATCTATTTCCAGTTTAAGAATGGAGCAGCGTCCGATGTTCCTGATGTACCCTCTTATCCAATCTCCGTTACCGTCACGCAGAGCTCCCCCGGTAGACGCCTTCATCGTCGTAGGAACCACGGCTCCGTCTATGTTGAGCTTGAAGATACCAATGCGTGGGGGTTTCCAATGAGCTTCCGTGCTGTTGGCCTTGATGTTAGAAGGAGAGAATTGCTGGTTGTTTTAAATTTTTTAAGACCTTCCAGAATTCAGCACTGTCATGTTATTCTTAAAGCTAAAGCCCTCACATTCATTCCAATGTTTGGTTCCAATTAGTTTTAACGCTTTTTATAGTAAAATATTTAATTATTAATTTGAATAATTTTCCAGAGTATTAATTTTTGAAATAAGGATCTCATAATTTCCACTTGTAATTGCTAATGTCATTCCCGCAAATCTTACATTATCTATCGGTTATTAATTTTCAAATCTTAGATTATAATCTTTTACGCCATTAAGTTTCTTTGATGTATGATAAATGAGAAATTTGTTAAGAAATAAAGTGTTAAATAAATACCATATACTATTTTTCCCTCTTTTTGGAATATCTTCTGTAATTAATGCATAAAAATATTACCAAACACATTTCTGATTATAAAGATAATACAATCATTAGCAAAAGAACACTAGAAAAATGGCTTCCTTCAAATTCTCTTCTTTCATGACTATATTTTTTCTAGTCATCTCTTATTCCTTCAATGTCTGCCATGCTGATCGTGCCTTGATCGACAGTATCTGCAAGCCGTCGGAAGACTACGCATTTTGCATTTCTCCAGTCGGCAACGACCCTCGTGCGGCGAACGCCGACCTGCACGGCCTTACCTTGGTCTCCTTCTCGGTGACAGCCATTTATATTCAGGACACCCTGGATAAAATCTACAACCTTGTTCAACAATTGAAAGATCCGGTCTCACAAACTCGACTTAAGCTCTGCCAAAGTGATTACAATGAGGCTTTGAGCTATTTCCAGAGCTCCTTCACCGCTACTTCCAGAGATGCTTTTTTCGAAGCCACAGACTCCGTTAGAATCGGAACCAACAAGGTTAAAGACTGTCACAATAGATTTATGTCGAATTCTGCTCCCCTAGCCATATCGCCTATTGCTGGGGATGATGCCAATGTTTTAAAATTCTCGGGGATTATTCTGATAGCCATTGATAAACTCATTCCCAATAAATAGTAGATTTACCATTCGTATTTTAAAAATAATCAATGATTTTTTTTGAAATAATGATTTTTTTTTTGTGTTGAATCGTAACTCAGTTATACGTAATTATGTTTAGTTAACTCCAGAAAAAGAAAAAAAAATGATCATGTACAAATTTGAGTTTAGGTTAAATAAAGAACTTAAAAGCACTAAATCATAAAAGAAAACCTTACATTTGATTATTTGTTGTTGTTAGAGATCATGAGTTTACGCATCAACGATTATTTATTGTCAAATGACGATTGTATATCTATTGTTAAATGAGTGAGAATATTTAAAATATATTTTACTTTGTAATTATTTTATTTTAATAAAAATATTTTTTAATTTAATTAATCATTTTATTCCCGTAATAGGAGTCGTTTTTACTTTTTCTGCTTGAGAGTTTAGGCTTGTGAAATAGTCCCTCTTATTGTTTTGCCCTCTCCCTCCGCCAGTGAACTCCAATAGCAAAAGAAAAAGCAAAAAGTTATCATCTCTCAGTAATCAGATATCGCAAAAATAAGCAATGATAATTCGAATCCCTCTCTCCCAGCAATCCGCTTCAAGGTACGTTTCACCACTCTCATTTCTGACCTTCAATTTCTTTTGCTCTGATTCGAACCCTCCCCTAAACAATGACGTCGACACCGTCTACCGCATAATATCTAGCTCTACCTCTTCAGAAAACCTGACCCAATCCTTAAAATCAACTGGGGTTTTTCTCTCAAACGATTTAATCGACAAAGTGCTGAAAAGGTTCAGGTTTAGCCATGGCAATCCTTTGCACGCGTTTGACTTCTTTCAGTATACAGGAAAAAGAAAAGGGTTTTATCACACCGCCTTTTCTTTGGATACCATGCTTTATGTTCTGGGCAGGAGCAGGAAATTTGATAAAATTTGGGAGGTTTTAATTGATATTAAGAGAAAAGATCAGTCTTTGATAACCCCTAGAACCATGCAAGTCGTTTTAGCTAGAATTGCTAAGGTTTGTTCAGTTAGAGAGACTGTAATAAGTTTCTGGAGGTTTAAGAAACTTGTTTCTGAATTCGATATTTCTTGCTTTAATGCTTTATTAAGGACATTGTCCCAAGAGAAAAGTATGACGGATGCTAGGAATGTTTATCATAGTTTAAAACATGATTTTAGGCCAAATTTGCAGACTTTTAATATACTTTTGTCTGGATGGAAGTCCTATGAGGAAGCTGAGGGATTTTTTGATGAAATGAAGGAATTGGGTGTTAGACCGGATGTAGTTTCATATAATTGCTTAGTTGATGTGTATTGCAAGAATAGGGAAATTGATAAAGCTTACAAGGTTGTTGACAAGATGAGAAATGAGGAACTGTGGCCCGATGTGATCACGTATACGAGTATTATCGGCGGTTTAGGATTGGTCGGTCAGCCCGACAAAGCTAGAGATATTTTGAAGGAAATGAAGGAGCATGGATGTTACCCCGATGTTGCAGCGTATAATGCCGCCATTAGAAACTATACCATTGCAAAGAGGCTTGGTGATGCTTTTAGTTTGATGGATGAAATGGACGGAAAGGGTTTGAGTCCCAATGCAACTACTTACAATCTGTTCTTTAGGGTCTTTTATTGGTCGAATGATTTGAGAAGCTCGTATAGTTTGTATCAGAGGATGATGTATTCCGGGTGCCTGCCGAATACACAATCTTGTATGTTTCTAATCAGGTTGTTTAGGAAGCATGAAAAGGTGGAAATGGCACTGCAGTTGTGGAATGACATGGTGGAGAAAGGTTTTGGGTCTTATGTTTTGGTATCTGATGTGCTGTTTGATCTGCTTTGTGATATGGGGAAGCTGGTGGAAGCGGAAAAGTGTTTCTTGGAGATGATAGAGAAGGGTCATAGGCCTAGCAATGTTTCTTTCAGGAGGATCAAGGTGCTCATGGTATTGGCAAATAAGCACGAGGCAATTCGGAACTTAAAAGAGAAGATGTCCATTTTTGGGCCTTCGATCCAACTTTCCGGAGACGGTAAGAATCACACGGAAGCAATAGATTTAGATTCACTCAACGTTAATCATGTCAGAGCTAAATAATGCAATAACCATTGCGGTTGATTTTTTCCGAGAGAGGCTTTTCTAAACCATCAAGACGGTGCAGCATATCCATGAAGACTGCATTTTCTATGTACTCTTTAGTCGTTGTCGCAGTCTGTTACCAAGTGTCGATTATCATTCGACTTGTTTTTACTCTAGTTCTATGGTTTTAATTATAGTTTCAATGAATTCATGCAGTGAATTAATTGTTTTTTCTCAAAGTTTGCAGGAGCTTATTTTGTATTAGCATATGGGGTCTCTCGTTTATCGCACAAGCTAAAAGAGGCATTCAAGAAACTGGCAATACCACAAATTTGGGAGATTTTTCTTTTGAGAATTTGTCAATTATTGTTAAACTACATATAATAAATGAGAAGGTTTGCAAGAAGCAAATGAACATGAAAAACAAAACACTTGAACAGGATAAAAATCCAGGGCTGACAACTCAATGGTGCCATCTATGCCTGCAATTGTGTACGTATGTATAAGCGTAAGCAAATATAAGGTATGAGGAACTGACGAAACCCAAATACAAGTAGCACCTTGTTTGCGATGTTTGAGAGCCAGTCCAGTCCCTCGTATAAACCTTCACCAGAAGTGGCACATGTGCTCTGGATGTACCTGCAAAAAAGGAAATTATACAAAGGGCTACATACATATCCACACATATAGACCATCAGGAAAGAGAGAGATAATGGTTCATCTTACCAGTGGCGCTGGCGGAGAGAATGAAGGCCAAGCTTGTCAGTAATCTCGGCAGCGTTCATAGCATTTGGAAGATCTTGCTTGTTTGCAAATACTAGCAAAACAGCATCTCTCAACTCATCCTGCCATTGCGCATAAAACATATTAGATTTCAGCACAAGAAAACCCATTCAGAGTGCAGCTTTAATAATTTCAAAACCATTCATCAGAACCATTAGCCCCAGCAATAGGAAAAGTTTATGCTTAAAAGTACCTCATTCAGCATCCTATGCAACTCATCTCTAGCTTCAACCACAGATCGCGGTCATTGCTATCAACCACAAAGATAAGTCCTTGTGTGTTTTGGAAGTAATGTCTCCACAATGGTCGGATCTATATACACAATCATATCAGATCAAGAAGTCAAATAATAGAGAAACAAAAAGTCAAAATAATAAACGCCTTTTTTTCGTTATTCTAATAGATCTAGCAAGATCTAAGATATACTCAAAACCTAAAGATTCGATTTTAAGCACTAAGCATCCATATTTGCACATACCTATCTAACACCTACTCCATATTTTCTCCTTCAATGGAACTACACATTCGGGTTATCAAGATGCTTAATTGCTTATAGAATAAATAAGACCATGAAATTCTGTACAAATTATTGCCATAAACAGAACAGATATAAGAAACCCTAGTTTTTTAATCTTTTGATGCCACCTCTACAGTAAAAAAATCTTTAAATAAAAAACCAAACTTGGTACCTTGTCCTGGCCACCAACATCCCAAACGGTGAAGCTGATATTCTTGTATTCCACGGTCTCAACATTGAATCCTACAAGATTGCATAAAATCATCACAATTTGCAACAAAAATTCATTTTTATTCAAATGTGAAGAAAGCTACTTACCAATGGTAGGAATGGTTGTGACGATCTCTCCCAATTTAAGCTTGTAAAGGATGGTGGTTTTACCAGCAGCGTCAAGACCAACCATCAGTATACGCATCTCCTTCTTGGCAAAAGCCGGCTGAATAGCTTTGCGAAAGACAACCCCATTTTTTACTTCTGTCAAAACACCAAAATCCACATGAATTTGCACAATCATATATAGAATTTGAAAAATAAAAAAATCCAACGGTATGAAATCAAAACAAACATGAGATGATCGTTCGAGGAACGATTGGAAACAAGGGAGAAATGGATTGTTTCAATCCGAAAAAGGCAGATCGGAGCAATTTAATGAATATACGACGCTTTTCCGAGACTGGTGTCGTAACCGCATTTCGGTGTGGGCCCGGAATTGGGCTTCGACTTGGATTAAATGAATTGGGAGTCGCCACCGATCACTTTAAAACGAATTTAGGTGGATCGGACACCATCTTACCTGATCTGCGTTGTACCAAAAACATGTCGGGTTCGGGAGTCGATTACGGTCAAGGAAGGATTAGCACCCTTGAACCGCCCTTTCGGTACCAATTAATTTATCGGTTGTCTTTAATTGCGAAAATTAGAATTTAAATTAAAATTAAAATTATTCGATCCGAATTACTTACCGTTTGATCGGCTGAAATCACAACTGAAACAAAATATGTTAGATAAAAAGCGAAAACAAGATGCTAATAAATAAAAGGTATAAAAAATAATAATAATAATGAATGCAAGAAATAAATAAAAAATAATAATAATAAAAGGTTAAGTTAAAAAAAATATTTAAAAGTAAAATAAAAAAAAAGATAAAGATAAAACTTATGATCAAATTGGAACAAATTGAGCTTAATGAATTAGAAAATGAACTGCAAAAGAACAAATAAAAAGTTAGGGGACCAATTCACAGAATCAAAAAAATATAAATAGGGACCAAATTGATTAAATTGCAAATTCGGGGTCAAAATTACAAATAGTGACCAAAATGAAAACCGATCCAAAATACCAGGGACTGCGGAGAGGATTTAAAAATATTCTATTTGCAGATCAATCCTTCGTAAAACGACGCCGTTTTGAATTTCGTATTTAAAGCCGAAAATAGGGTTTTGCTTTTTCATTTCTCTCATTTGGCCATTTTTCCTCTCTCTCTGCACTCTCTCTCGTCTCTCTCAATTCTCTCAGCGGGGGAGATGATCGGAACCGCTCCGGGGCTTGAACCGCCGTCCGCCGCCGCCCCGGCCGCCGGAAACAAAACCAAACCTTAGCAAGATGTTCCCCTTAACCCCGTAAACACGAATCCAAGCCTAAAATCCCCAAAAACCCCACCTATCGGAGTAGATCTAAACAAAAAGTCTCGACCTTTTACCTTTCCGGCGACCTTTCCGCTTCTGTTCTCGCCGTGCCCGCTCTCGGTTTCTCTTGGCTTTGGCCTTTTTATGTATTCCTTTACTTGTGTTTGGGGTTTGGCTTCAGTGATGTTATTTTGGCTCTGTTTTCGTGTATTTTAGTACTGTTGATGCTGTGTTGATGTTGTGATGTTCTATGTTTTTGTTGTGTTGATGTGTTTTGACTGTGTGGTACTCGATGATGGTTTCTGGTCTTGGTTTCTTTGTTCTCTCGGTGTGCTGTGCCCGATTCTTGGGTTTTCTGTGGATGTTTTCTGACCCTGGCAGTGACTTGGCCGTGGGTTTTTATAACCCCCGCCGGCCGTTGAGAACCCCGAATATTGTGGAGTGCTCGGTTCGTGGTTGACCGACCATCCCGGGATGGGTCAGTCCCGGGATAACGGCCGGCCGTTTCGCCCATGACCCTTGGACTCCCGTGCGGCGCGGTGACTAAACATGTTTTAGGGTTCCCAAACCCTAAACTCCAACAGGCTGGATCAGGCCTGTCCTACGGGCTGGAGCCGTGCCTGTGTTGGATTAAAAAATGGACCCTGAACTTGGACCTTGAAAAGACCAAAACAATAAAATAAAATAAAAATGAAATAAATAATAATAATAAATAATATATATATACATAAATATTTTCAAAAACATATAATATATAAATTTCAAAATGTTTTTAAACTATATAATATATGAATTTTTCAACATGTTTTCAAAAAAAAAGATTATATAAATTTTCCAAAAACGTTTTAAAAACTATATAATATATAAATGTTTTCAAAATGTTTTCAAAACTATAATATATATGTTTTCAAAAATGTTTTCAAAAACTATATATATATATAAGTTTTCAAAATGATTTTAAAAATTATATATTATATATATTTTCTAAAATGTTTTTTTTTTAAAACTATATATTATATAATTTTAAAAACTATTAAAAACTATATATTATATACGTAGTTTCAAAATATGTATATATATAAATATGTAGGTACATATAAAGGGGAAAAAAATATGTCGACAAAAATTAGTGTCTACAGCTGCCCCTCTTTGTCCTTTTTCGTGGAACGAAAAATAGGACAAAGATAAAAAGACACAAATTTTCGTTCTGTGGAGTTGAAAAATAACTCCCTGTCGAATTGGGTTGCGGATGGCTCCTCCGTCGCGAAGTCGAGTCCATCTCGAAATAATATAGAATTGAAGCCGCAGTTCGGGATTTGAATCGGGATGTGGTTTCTCGTTGTAGTCTGCCTCGGTCTTTTCCTCGGTTTAAAGATCTGGGTTGGAAAATTCGACTTGAAAGTAGTTTCTTGACTCCACCCTGTGGTTGATAGGCCCTCGAGCTGAATAAAATCGAACTCCGAAGGTCTTCGTTGACAAATAGCTTTTCTCGTCTTAAGCTATACTGCCGGAAAAACGGTTTATTGTCACTAAGGCACGGCTAACCCAAGTCTTCTTCTGGATATGAAAACCTTGATTGCAGCCAAACAGTAGTGTGATTGAGGTATCATCGAGCTGAATAGAGTCGAACTCGACAATTTTATTGACAAATAGCCCTTCTTGCCATGAGCTATGTTGTAAATGATATGACCTCGAAGTTGAGTGTAATCGAACTCGGGAGTCTTTGGCAGATAGCCCTTCTTGACTTAAGCTATGCTGCAAATGATATGCCTTGGAGCTGAGCGTAGTCGAACTCGAAGGTCTTTGGTTGGCAGATAACCCTTCTTGACTTAAGTTATGCTGCAAATGATGCGCCCTCGAAGCTGAGCGTAATCAAACTCGGGGGTCTTTGGCAGATAGCCCTTCTCGACTTAAGCTATTCTGCAAATGATGTGCCTTGGAGCTGAGCGTAGTCGAACTCAAAGGTCTTTGCTAACAGATAACCCTTCTAGCCTTGAGTTATGCTGTAAATGTTATGCCCTTGAAGCTGAGTGTAATCGAACTTAAGGGTCTTTGGCAGATAGCAGTTATGCTGCAAATGATGCGCCCTCGAAGCTGAGCGTAATCAAACTCGGGGGTCTTTGGCAGATAGCCCTTCTCGACTTAAGCTATTCTACAAATGATGTGCCTTGGAGCTGAGCGTAGTCGAACTCAAAGGTCTTTGCTAACAGATAACCCTTCTAGCCTTGAGTTATGCTGTAAATGTTATGCCCTTGAAGCTGAGTGTAATCGAACTCGAGGGTCTTTGGCAGATAACTCTTCTCAACTTAAGCTATACTGCAAATGATGTGCCTTGGAGCTGAGCGTAGTCGAACTCAAAGGTCTTTGCTAACAGATAACCCTTCTAGCCTTGAGTTATGCTGTAAATGTTATGCCCTTGAAGCTGAGTGTAATTGAACTTAAGGGTCTTTGGCAGATAGCTCTTCTCGACTTAAGCTATATTGCAAATGATGTGCCTTGAAGCTGAGCGTAGTCGAACTCAAAGGTCTTTGCTAACAGATAACCCTTCTAGCCTTGAGTTATGCTGTAAATGTTATGCCCTTGAAGCTGAGTGTAATTGAACTTAAGGGTCTTTGGCAGATAGCTCTTCTCGACTTAAGCTATACTGCAAATGATGTGCCTTGGAGCTGAGCGTAGTCGAACTCAAAGGTCTTGGTGGCAGATAGCCCTTCTGGCCTTGAGCTAAGCTGCAAATAGTTTGTTTAAAAATGACTTCCCTTTACGGGTCGAAAACGGTCATGATTCTTCCGGTGGTTCCCCTAAGCTGGTCTGGGAAAACCTACTGATAAATTCTGACAGCCGGATATCTTCCGTCGTGGAATTGAAATCTGGCTTGAAAGTGTTAACTGAAAACATGTTGCTCCTGGTGAGTTTGAACTGAACTAGATTTGATCTGAATTGGTTCTCGAACCCATCTGAGATATGTAGTTATGTAAAGTCGGTTGAGGTGTAGCTTCTTGCTGCTGAGTTACACCATCGTTCTTTAAAGGTGCTTGCAAGTCGAGTAACCTTCATCCTGAAGTCGAAGCTTGACTCTGAAAGCTGCAAAATTATGTATGCTAAAATGATGAATGTGATGCACCTAAGTATGTCTAAGATGCATGCAACATGAATAAATTATGTGTTATTTCTTGGATGGAGTCTCGTGCTTTGCCTTCCAATCTGGTCCATGGAGTCGATCGTGCCCCATTTGCTTCTCGAGCTTGGGCTTTACAGACATTTCATATCTGAGATTGTTCTGTTTGAAAACGTTTTTTCTCCTTTTTCTTGTTTCAGGAGAGAGAAATGTAAAGTATTGTTCGCAATTGAATCAAATTGTAAATGTGAGTTCAAAAATATCAAAGGAATCAAGAGCTCTTTTAATGCTTTCAGAGTTACAAATCTTTGACAAATGTTCAAAGGGACAAGTCGGCTTCAGGTTGGCCTCCTTTCTAAGGTTTTTTTGGTAAAAAATGTCATTTTTTTTAAATATCGCCACATGCTTTGGCACTTTAATTGGGTGCGGACAAAATGACGCAACTAGCATGATCAATTACTAGACCTTTTATCTCAGTCCTCTGAAATTTTTCATTTGTTCAAGCTTTGTAGGCTCTTCCAACAAAGACAGTGCAAAAAATATCGGTCTAAAAATGAAATTCTTGAGTGCTTGTGTGTAGTCAACTATAACAGGTGTTCCTTAACTCCCTTAGTCCATTTTACCAAAAATTTCTTGCTTAGATAAATTTGATTTAATTTGGCGTTATCTGACTAGCTGAATCCATAAAGCCAGGGCATTTAACCAATTGCTTTAGAGGGACAGCTTAATATTATAATCACTCTTATCGAGTTAACTGAAGGGTTCATCTCATCACGGAGTCTTCAGCCTGACAAGAGCAGTGGAGCAAACACCGAATTGCCAAGTGTCCGAGCAATGTCATGGTTTGAACGTAATCTACTCATAAGGCCAGGGCTTTCAAGTTTCCTCTATAACCAATTGCCTTAGCGGAATAGCTCAGTTTTTACGGATTTAATTTCCTAAGATTGTCAAGAAGAACCTGTTATAGCTTAGGTGTTTTTGAAAGTCAAGGAATCTCATCTTTAGAGCTCAATTTTCCAGCAACTGACTTAAACTGGATTCACCTACTCGACTCTTTCATTTGTAAATATCATCATCGTCATTGAACGTCTTAAATAAAAAACATAGTAATTGTCATATGCAAATGATGCCCCATGTTGTCCGCACCTTATGAAAGGAAAAGGGTATATTGGTTAATTACAAGAGCGGGGTATGGTGTTTGAGGGTATATTCTGGATAAGGTCAAAGTCCTTGTTATTAAATCATGTTACTTCGTCAAAGATTCATAACTTTGAATCGTTTACAGAGTTTCTTAATTCAAATGATATGCAAAGAATTACAAATTTGCAAATATGATCCATTGCTTAACATTTTTTAAAGTAACATAAATTTGATTAAAATGTTCTTACAAAAACTTTGAGAAAAAATGGAAGAAAAACAAAGTCAAACAGAATGCCTCAAATGATGAAATGATATTCCTCACTTGGATGCCCCTAAGTTGTTGAAGTCGATCCAGTTCTGGTTACGCATCTTTTGTACAACCCTCTTGAATGCGTAACAGTTCTCAATTGTGTGCCATGGGACTCCGCCGTGATATTCACAATACGCATTCTCATCATACCACTTGGGGTATGGGGGCTTCATGGGTTCTACTGGATATGGTGACACCACATGGGTGTCAAGAAGTTGCTGGTAAAGCTCTTTGTAGGTCATGGGAATTGGGTCGAAATGTTCCCTTTCCCTTCTGGAATCTTGTTTAGAAGTACCTAACGGTACAGCTGCAGTTGATTTTGGGCTGGAGATTGTAACACCTTTGCTGGAGTGTTTGATGTTATTAACCTCTCCATCCCTCTCCCTCATAAGAGGCTTCTTACTGGCTTCCCCATCCTTAATCTTGCCTTGCTTTATGGCCGACTCAATCATTTCTCCGGCCATAACCAAGTCTGAAAAGCTTCCTGATGTGATCGCCACCAGATGCCCGAAGTATGGAGCCTTCAGAGTCTGCACGAAAAGTTTCCGAGTTTCCTTTTCATCTAACGGTGGATGAACTTGCACAGCCAAGTCCCTCCATTTTTGTGCGTACTGCCTGAAACTCTCGTTATGCTTCTTTTCCATGTTTTGTAGCATAACTCGATCTGGCCTTATATCATTGTTATGCTTGTATTGTTCCAGAAATGACTTGGCCAGGTCCTTCCAGGTCTTGATATTTGATCGGCTTAGCTGGTTGTACCACCGAATGGCTGAGCCCGACAGACTATCCTGAAAGCAGTGGATCAGGAGTTGGTCGTTTCCTCCATATCCTGTCATCTTTCGGCAGAACATGGTGATGTGAACGGATGGGCAACTATTCCCGTCAAACTTCTCGAACTCCGGGGACTTAAATTTCGGGGGAAGAACCAACTCCGGGACTAGACTAAGTTCCGTTGCATCGATTTCATGGTAGTCACGGTCTCCTTTGACTATATTCATTTGGTCCTCCAATTGTTTGATTTTTTCCTCCATCTTCCTCGCCTTTTCCTCTTCATCCAAATCCGGTACATGGTAATAACCCGGATTGTTCTTAGGGTTAAATACAGAGGACAAGGGCTTTGATTTTGCAGCAGATGAGTCCCCTCGAAGTTCTGGTAAGATTTCAGGTGAGATAACCACTTGTGGGGTAGGTTGTATAGTTACCCCTTCCGATGAACCTGCCCCAGGCGCACTGGTCTGTTGTAGGCCAATTAACTTGGCAACAATCTGATCAACCAAGGACTCTTGGTTCTTTGTGATTGTTTCTAGAGTATTTCGACTATTCTGGTTTATTTTGTCTTCTAGCTCCTTTTATAGTTTTAACATATTCTCCTCGATTTGTGTAATTCTGGCTTCCATCCTCTTCTTCTTCAAATGAGTGTTATATGGATGGGGTGTCCAATACTTGAGGCGGTGTATCCAGTATTTACTCCTTTTGATGAGACATGTATATATTAGTTAATGTGAATGCAAAGAAAATAACAAAATGCAAAGAAAATAAGAAATGCAAAATGTCTAAATATGTGATGTATGAAATGTCCGAGGCATTGATCCAAAAAATGTGCCTGTTATTCTGAATAACCCTTATTGGTGACAAAAGTGTTACGTCTGAAGAGACAAGAAAACTCTTTTGATGGTACAAATCTTGTACAGCTTCTGACAAGTTAATTCGTCTTTTTCACTAGTTGAATATCCTGTCGCACCATTCCGGCTCCTTTGGCTAAAATGTGCAAATAATGAGATGCTTGCCCCAAAAAAAAAATCTCGAAGGACTGCATCTTCGACTTTCACTTTCTACCGAGCTTGTTTCTAACGAAAGTGTCATTGGAGCCTTCCATCAAGAGAAATTATCCGAAGCTTGCCTCTTGAATTCATCAGTAATGACATCCAGCTCAGCTAGTGTTTTACCATCTTGTTCTTGTAGTTTTCGAAAGGATCGACCGGGTCAGTGACCTTTTCCTCGTATTGCCCCTGTAACTTTGCCTTTGAGTATTCTTTGACCACGGTTGGACTTCTGAGTTTTTTTGTTTTTTATCTCTTTGTATTATAACCCATTCGTCCATTAATGCAGATTATTCATGTTTAACAAACACATTTTTGGTGGATCAACACATCGTTTTAAATGATGCAAACGATGAACACAAAATAAAATAGAACAAAAAAATAAAAGGGTTAGTGAGGTAAATCAAAACAATAAAAAAAAATGAAAAATCCTACCCCACATGATATCTACCCCTCATGCTTTAATTCCTACCCGGACATGATTTCTATTCCGCAGGCTAATTTTAAACAAATCCTAACCGCATATTTGTCTAGTTCGCATGCTTTGAACAGAAAATAAAGCAGGAAACAAAGCATCCTAGGGTTTGGAATGAGGTTTTGGGGTGGGCTCTACTTCCCTGTACTCTCCCGGTTTAGGTTCTAAAAACGGTACTCGAGTTCTCCTTGCCGGTGCCCCCTTGGGCTTACCAGACCCTTAGTCCTAAACCCATCACAGGCTTGTGCGGACCAAGTTAAACTCGAGGGGACACATTCCCTTATGCCCGCACGGTGAATAAATTCACACGAAGACATAAGGTATATGAATCCCGAAGGCTACTTGCTAGGCATATGCGGTGAATAAATTCACACGAATGCGTCGCTTTCACCCCCACTTAAAAGGGTTCGGAGCTCGGGTATAGAGCCTGAGATGAAACTTTTCGAAAATATGGGATCATTGAAAAAATGTTAGTACAACTATTTACTTGGAAAAATAATCAAAGGGCAAATAATTGGAATCGAATAAATAAATTAAAATTAAAATTTACAATTTTCGCATAAAAAGATAACCGAAAATTAATTTGGCCTGACTCACTTACCTGTCCCCAGCGGAGTCGCCAAGCTGTCGTAACCGCCTTTCGGTGTGGGCCCCGGAATTGGGCTTCGACTTGGATTAAACGAATTGGGAGTCGCCACCGATCACTTTAAAACGAATTTAGGTGGATCAGACACCATCTTACCTGATCTGCGTTGTACCAAAAATATGTCGGGTTCGGGAGTCGATTACGGTCAAGGAAGGATTAGCACCCTTGAACCGCCCTTTCGGTACCAATTAATTTATCGGTTGTCTTTAATTGCGAAAATTAGAATTTAAATTAAAATTAAAATTATTCGATCCGAATTACTTACCGTTTGATCGGCTGAAATCACAACTGAAACAAAATATGTTAGATAAAAAGAGAAAACAAGATGCTAATAAATAAAAGGTATAAATAATAATAATAATAATGAATGCAAGAAATAAATAAAAAATAATAATAATAAAAGGTTAAGTTAAAAAAAATATTTAAAAGTAAAATAAAAAAAAAGATAAAGATAAAACTTATGATCAAATTGGAACAAATTGAGCTTAATGAATTAGAAAATGAACTGCAAAAGAACAAATAAAAAGTTAGGGGACCAATTCACAGAATATTCAAAAAAATATAAATAGGGACCAAATTGATTAAATTGCAAATTCGGGGTCAAAATTACAAATAGTGACCAAAATGAAAACCGATCCAAAATACCAGGGACTGCGGAGAGGATTTAAAAATATTCTATTTGCAGATCAATCCTTCGTAAAACGACGCCGTTTTGAATTTCGTATTTAAAGCCGAAAATAGGGTTTTGCTTTTTCATTTCTCTAATTTGGCCATTTTTCCTCTCTCTCTGCACTCTCTCTCGTCTCTCTCAATTCTCTCAGCGGGGGAGATGATCGGAACCGCTCCGGGGCTTGAACCGCCGTCCGCCGCCGCCCCGGCCGCCGGAAACAAAACCAAACCTTAGCAAGATGTTCCCCTTAACCCCGTAAACACGAATCCAAGCCTAAAATCCCCAAAAACCCCACCTATCGGAGTAGATCTAAACAAAAAGTCTCGACCTTTTACCTTTCCGGCGACCTTTCCGCTTCTGTTCTCGCCGTGCCCGCTCTCGGTTTCTCTTGGCTTTGGCCTTTTTATGTATTCCTTTACTTGTGTTTGGGGTTTGGCTTCAGTGATGTTATTTTGGCTCTGTTTTCGTGTATTTTAGTACTGTTGATGCTGTGTTGATGTTGTGATATTCTATGTTTTTGTTGTGTTGATGTGTTTTGACTGTGTGGTACTCGATGATGGTTTCTGGTCTTGGTTTCTTTGTTCTCTCGGTGTGCTGTGCCTGATTCTTGGGTTTTCTGTGGATGTTTTCTGACCCTGGCAGTGACTTGGCCGTGGGTTTTTATAACCCCCGCCGGCCGTTGAGAACCCCGGATATTGTGGAGTGCTCGGTTCGTGGTTGACCGACCATCCCGGGATGGGTCAGTCCCGGGATAACGGCCGGCCGTTTCGCCCATGACCCTTGGACTCCCGTGCGGCGCGGTGACTAAACATGTTTTAGGGTTCCCAAACCCTAAACTCCAACAGGCTGGATCAGGCCTGTCCTACGGGCTGGAGCCGTGCCTGTGTTGGATTAAAAAATGGACCCTGAACTTGGACCTGGAAAAGACCAAAACAATAAAATAAAATAAAAATGAAATAAATAATAATAATAAATAATATATATATACATAAATATTTTCAAAAACATATAATATATAAATTTCAAAATGTTTTTAAACTATATAATATATGAATTTTTCAACATGTTTTCAAAAAAAAGATTATATAAATTTTCCAAAAACGTTTTAAAAACTATATAATATATAAATGTTTTCAAAATGTTTTCAAAACTATAATATATATGTTTTCAAAAATGTTTTCAAAAACTATATATATATATAAGTTTTCAAAATGATTTTAAAAATTATATATTATATATATTTTCTAAAATGTTTTTTTTAAACTATATATTATATAATTTTAAAAACTATTAAAAACTATATATTATATACGTAGTTTCAAAATATGTATATATAAATATGTAGGTACATATAAAGGGGAAAAATATGTCGACGAAAATTAGTGTCTACAACTGGGAAAAGATGAAACTACGAAAAGAAATGAAAATTCAAGAGATTAACACAATGTTGAAACAAAAGTGAAGTCAAATTCCAAAAAAGGCAGATCTGGAGAGCCATAAGCTAAATTAGAAAAAAAATCAACTACAAAATGAAAATCCGTTTCGGAAATCGAGAAGGTAGAGAAATTTACCTGAGAAATGCGTTAATAAGCGACGACGAACGACGGAGAGAAGCGAAAATCTACTCCTCTCTCTCCCTCTTTCTCTATCGGAATCCAAGGCAATGAACGAACTGACGCTTGAAGCTGAAGCTTTGAGAGCCTCTATTTATATATATGGGCTGGGGACATTGATTTAGCACAAGGAAGCCCATAAGGTAAGTTGGACTAACTAGTCACCAGTAGGACTGTAAAATCAGGTAATCGGACAGGTTTCAGTTGGATCAGGTTTATGTCAGGTCAAATCAATTCGGGTTATTTTCAGGTTGATTTGACATCATATCTAGATCGGGTTCAGGTCGGGTCATTTTCAATTTGGATTAATGTCAGTTCAGGTAAAAATAGTTCAGGTCCGAAGCAGATAAAGACCAGGTTAATTCAAGTTCGAGTGGACTTCAGTCGGATCTCGTTCAGATCGGGTCACATCATTGACAGATAAAATTCAGGTCGGATGTTTATCGGATACGGATTGAGTTCAGGTCGTTTTTATTTTGTCATCTTTTGTGATTGTTGAATTGGAAGTTGTAATTGTATATGATTTCGAGTAAATTAAGAGAAAAATAAATATTCATGGATCAATTTTGTAAAAAAATATAAATTTAATGACAAAATTGAAGAAATGTAAAATTACAAATAAAATCTTAAAATATAAATTAAACAACACACATAGGTAAGGGACTAAATAGAAATAAATTTAAAATGTGAGGTTTAAATTAATATAAAAAAGGACTAAATTAAACACATTTAAAAAATTATGGGTCAGTTACAAAAATATAAATAAATAACAACTAACAATGGAATATGCAAATATTAATTTAAGGACTAAATTGAATATATATAAAAGTTAAAGACTTAAAATTAAAATAAAATAAAAAACACAAAAGGATTAAATCGAAATAAATGCAAAATGTGAAGAAATAATGAAAAAATACTAACTTGCATTCATTCAAAAAAATTGAAAAAATATAATATATATATATAATATAAATTATATAAACTATATTTATATTATAAACTATATAATTATTATAAACTATATATATAAATTATATTTATGTCAACATTATATAAAATTATAAATTATATTTATATTATAAACTATATAATTATTATAAGCTATATATATAAATTATGTTTATGTGAACTATACATATAAACTATGTATATAAACTATATATGTATAAACTATAAAAAGTATATAAACTATAAAAAGTATATAGTTTATAAAATATTATTTATATTAATATAGTATATATATATATATATATATATATAAACTATATATGTATAAACTATATAAAATATATAGTTTATATGTTATAATTTATATTAATATAGTATATATATGTATGTATAACAAATATAAGTAATATATAGAATATATATATATATATATATATATATATATATATTAAAGAAACTCTATGCATAAACTATATAAAGTAATAAATTATATAGTTTATAAAAATCCTAAACCCTATATCCTAAAACATAAACCCTAAATCCTAAACTTTATAAACTATATATGTATAAATACATTTGATAATTCATATATAGTTTATATAAACAATAGATTATATAAATTACATATGTAACATTAACCTAAAGCCTATAAACAATAGTTAATCTATGTAACTTATAGTATATGTATACATGTAAACTATATATGTAACTTATAGTACATATATGTATAAACTATGTATAGTATATATGTTGAGTTAATCGATTGATGGAATTGGCCAAGAGGGGGGTGAATTGGCAATTAAAAATTTTGGTGGAAGCTTTTGCAGAAAATTGAAAGTAATTGCACAGCGATTTAGAGTGGTTTGACTTTCTCAATCAAAGTCTACGTCCACTACCTTAGCTATCCACACTAAGGATTTTCCAACAAATTCACTAATTTGTTCTTTCTTTTGAGGCCAAAGAGATAACCTTACAACACCCTCAAGAATATACCCCAATTCTTGAGAACACTCTTTCCCAAAGAGAAGATTACAAATTTGCAAACTTATAAGGAAAACCTCACAAGGTAAGATGTTTGCACAATTCTAGAACAAGAAAAGAACACTCACAAATAATTACAAATGAGCACAAATGGTGTTCTTTGAAAGCAAAATGAATATTGAAAGGAAAATTGGCTTGATTTGCACAAACTTGGTATTTGATGCTTTCTCTCTTGTTTCTCTATGATTTCTTGTCTTTCAAAGGTTTCAGAACTTGTTTAAATACACCTTGAATCACTTCTGAACGTTGGGGATGATTAGTGAAGATCATATAACCGTTTTAGTGTGAAAACAATTAATAAAACAATTTAGAGCGTGGGGGGAATCGGTACCCCCTATGGGGAATCGGTTCCCTAAGTGTAAAATTCAAATATTTCGACCGTTATACAAGGGGGGAATCGGTACCCCCTAGGGGGAATCGGTTCCCTCCGAGCATACTGGAATTCTCAGAGCCAAACCATTCAGGGGGGAATCGGTACCCCCTTGGGGGGGAATCGGTTCCCTCTAAGCAATCTGGAATTTTTTTGGCTTTGAAATGGTTCGAAATACTTTGTAAAATTATTTTGAAATTGTTTTAAGATTAAAACTTAATTTTACACTTTGAGTAAGGATTAAAAATGATCTTTGAAAGATTTGGAGTAATGTTTTGATATTCGAATAATTCTATCGAATATACTTAGAAAATCATTTGGAAAATCTTAAAATTCATTTAACTTAATTTGTTATATCGAAATATCAAAATGTTTTCAACAATCTCTCCCTTTTTGATATAACAAAACATTTTAGTAATTTTAAGATTTTGAAATCAAGTTTTGAAATTACTCCCCCTTACTTGAACACTTCTCCCATTTATCATGATTTTGAAATCAAGTTTTGAAATTACTCCCCCTTACTTTAACACTTCTCCCATTTATCATTTAAAAACACTTTAACACTTCTCCCATTTATCATTTAAAAACACTTTAACACTTCTCCCCCTTTTTGTTAAATCAAAAAGACATTTTAAAGAATTTAAACAAGGTTTTGAAATCATTTAGCCAATTGATTATATATAATATAAGCTGCTAAGATCACAAGCAAGAGAAACGTTAGCCATTAGTTTCATAATCAATATTCATAATTAATGTGAAATGACAAAATTGGTCATATATCTAATCATGAAGTAAATGATGCAATATTGAATAAATTTAATCACACCAAATAGATAATTTATAACCATTCATAAATCCAAACAAATTCAAAGTCAATCAATCCACAAATTCAAACGTTCCAAAATATTCAAAATGTTAAAACAATAAGTTTGGAGTTCAAAGCAAAACATTGAATCACATATCCGGATCAGGAGGAGGAAAACGAGCTCGCATAACGGCCATTTCGTTAGTGAGGTCATTAATACGTGCGTTGGTTGCTTCATTATTTGCACGCATTTCCCAAAGAATTTCTAATTGTTGAGCTCCCATTGTGGATAAATTGGACTCTATAGAAGTAAAGCGCGAATCCATAGTAGCGTATCTAAAATCGAATGTCTCCATAAAGGATTGGAAATATGGAGGCATTGTATGCGTCTGTTGTGCTTGCTCTTCGGGTTGCTCCTCGGGCTGCTCAGGCTCATCTTCGGCTTCATCGATGTCTCGCATTAATTGCTCAAGCTCGAGATCTTCGTCAGCTTCGGGTGGAGCTCGTGAAGAACTAGCTCCCGGAGTATTGGCAGAAGATCGAACCCATTCACCGGTTTCCTTATCCTTAATCCATCCCGCTCTCGTTAAGAAAAGAATGTTAATTTGTTTCTTAAGGGGAAAACGACATCTAGACCGACTCTAAGCCCATCTTTGGAAAACAGATTACTCAAAATGCAACCGTAAACAAGAGATGAACAGAGTTTTTTGTTAGGAACAAGATTTACGGTTTCAACAATTTCAGCAAAAATAATCTGAGGAAGGTTGATTTAAATATTGTTTTCGAAATAATGTAACCACCAAAGATCTAAGGCTCTAAGAGTAGAATAACGACCTCCGGATGGTCGAAACCACCAAGAAATCATTAGATGAAGAAAACGTTCATGAAGGTCTAGGACACTTGCACTATCCCTTCTTTTATAACGAGATCCTAAAACCTGTTTTTCATTTGAAATACCATCATTATCTAATCCGAATGTATTGGCTATGTAAGCCGAGTCAATATATAAGAATTGTCCTAGAAGGTAGGAACGAATTCCTATGGTTTCGGTTTCAGTTTGATTTTTAACACAAACGACATTAGAATAGAAAATACGAACAAGTTGATGGTAAACGATGGGTTCAAGGTCAAAGAGTTTATCAAATTTCCACTCTTGTAAAAGATGAAGATATTTAAAATTGATAGCTAACATAGCTTGACGAGAAGGAATACGTTCTTCCCGGATTTTGTAAGAGTCGAAATATTGATAATATCAAAAACGATGATTTCTAGGACCATGATGATTGAAACACGAATTTTGGATAGTCAAATTAGGATCAATAGGATTAGGATTAGAAATTGGAATAGGTGGAGGATTTGGAGGTGGATTTGGTTGACGGTGTGAACGACTAGATGAAGACCTAGCACGTTTAGAATTGGACATGGTTTAGGAAATCGAAATAGAATTGATAACCTGCAATTTAGAAAACACATGTATGCAATTCAATCAATCCCAAAACTCAATTGAGTCCTCAATATTTCAAGGTTCTCTAAATCAATCCTAATGGGCAAAGTTTTTGAAAAACTTTTGAAAAATATGGTTTTGAGAAACAATATATGTATAGTTTTCATAATAACAACATAATTTAATCAAAACACAATAATTTGAAAATTAATATTTTTTTATTTCGAAAATTTAGAAAATTTTGAAAAAATCTTGTGTTTTTGATGAAATTAGTTGTAATATCTAGTTTCTAAT